AAAATTCCATACTATTCGGTATTACACGTTTGGTGCACAATAAAAGCAAATCGGACGAAGGTATATAAGGGAGCTATATCTAAATTTTTACCGATTATCCCCAATTTCAATAGGGTTCGTCCTTGGGCCAAACAAATGATTTGTGCAAAATTTCATCTGGATCGTGTAATAAATGCGAACTGTATTTTGTTCACAAAAATATATGGACAGACGGACGGACGGACTGACAGACGGACGGACAGACGGACGGACATGCATAAATCGACGGAGAATGTGATTCTATGCAGATCATCAAAAGGAACTATGGGTCTATCTCGTTTCCTTTTGCCTGTTACAAACAAATGCACAAAGACACAATACCCTGACCACCTTGTAGTGTAGGGTATAAACAGCAGATAATCTTTTCTAGAAATTCTAAAAATTTAAAACCCGCACAAATTTTGCCATTACGAAAAATGTCAAACATTTATCTCAATATTTCATAAGATATTTTCACTAAATATTATTTTTTTATATACATACATACATACATACATCCGTCGTACATATACATGTACGTAAGTATGTACATTAACCATGACACTCATATTTTGTTTGTCTTTTGGCTAAAAAACACATTTGTTTTTGTTTAAAATAAATTTTCATTTTATCCCCATCATCATCAGAATTATTATTATTGTTGTTGTTGTGGCTGTCGTTCAACGTCGTTGGAATCGTCGCCATTGTCATCATCGTCATCATCACGAAAACAAATGTAGATTTATTATGGACGTGGTATTCATTGAATCTTGGGGGAAAATATGGCAATTATGACGCCAAAGATAATGATGATGGTAATAACGAAGAAGTGGTAATGCTGATGATCCTAATAGTGATAATGATGTTGGTATTATAACATTTTGGCACGCTTTTTTATACCCTCCACCAAACAAGGTATGGAGGGTATATTAAGTTCGTCATTCCGTTTGTAACTCATCGAAATAATCATTTTAGACCCAACAAAGTATATATATTCTTAATCAGCGTAAAATTCAAAGACGATTTAGCCCTGTCCGTCCGTCTGTCCGTCTGTTGTAATCACGCTACAGTCTAAACGAATTAAGATAGGAAGCTACAATTTTGCACAGATCTCTCATTTGTCTGCAGGCAGGTCAAGTTCGAAGATGGTATATCGGTCCACGATATCGTATAGCCCCCATATAACGGTACCCCCGATATTCGGTATTTTGATGCTTTTATCCACATTTTTCAACGGAATTGTCTGAAAATCCACACAAGGAGTTCCTTGTGGGTACTTTATACCTCGGCAGAGAATTATCTATATAGGTCCACGATATCGTATAGCCCCATATAACGGTACCCCTGATATTTGGTATTTTGATTATTTTATCCACATTTTTCAATGAAATTGTCTGAAATTCCACAAAAGGAGTCCCTTGTAGGCATTTTACCCCCTCAAAAAGAATTGTCTATATATGTCCACGATATCGTATATCCCCCATATAACTGTACCCCCCGATATTCGGTATTTTGATGATGTTAGCCACATTTTTCAATGGAATTGTCTTAAAATCCACACAAGTAGTTCCTTGTGAGTACTTTACCCCCTGAAAGAGAATTGTCTATACAGGTCTACGATATCGTATATCCCCCATATATCGGTACCCTCTGATATTCGGTATTTTGATGATTTCAGACACATTTTTCAACGGAATTGTCTGAAATTCCACACAAGGCGTCCTTTGTGAGCACTTTACCCCCTGACTTAGAGTTGTCTATATAGGTCCACAATAGCGTATATCCCCCATATATCGGCACCTTCCGATATTAGGTATTTTAAAGATTTTAACAGAATTTTCAATGGATTTTATTTTTTTTGAATATTTTCTAATTCGTTCCAAATGGTGGAGGGTATTCAAAGTTCGGCCCGGCCAAACTTACTGCTTTTTTACTTGTTAATAGTTTGAGATATATCAAATATTATTTCTCTGTGAGAAAAATGGGAAAAAGTTGGCACTTCTGGTATAAAAAATATACTCAAAAATCAAAACCCTGGCAGATAAGTTTCGAAAATCTTTATTTAAATTGACAGCGACTGGTCTGGGAAGACTAAGGAAAATATTGGCTCCTCAGCGAAAAATCAGCCATTAATGTTTTGATTCGCACCAACACTTCGTGTTAGGCTTTTTTAGTTCTCAAAATATAATTTTTTTTCAGTTTGACAAAAACCTTTTTAATCAAAACTTCATATATTGCACTAAATTGTCAGACTTTCAGGCTTTTATATATATTTTTCAAGCTTTTCCTGCTACGCAAGTTATAATAGGAAAATTTTTACTTTTAACACCAACAAGTTTTGAAAATCTGTTATTTTGAAGGTTACCGAGGAGAATATTAGTGAAACCTTTTCACAATGGACCCACATCTAATTTTTCTGCCTATTTCCATGTCGCTGTATGTAAACCCTGAATTTCAGTTGTATCCTTTCATCCAATACAAAATTTAGTAATATTTAGTACGCAAATCCAAAACTATGTACATGTCTCCACTCTAGACACCAACAGTCATCCAAAAATAGTACTATTTAGTAATTTTCGAACAATTATAGTAGACCTCTGCAAAACCACCACCAGATCTCAATCCCAGATACCAACAGAGACCTCAATATCAAATTTGGGATTCCAGCTCTATTCATTCACTCAATACCAAATTTGGTAACACCCACAGTAATCGCAATATACATTTCCACGGTTTCAGCTCTATCTTTCACCCAATATCTAATAACACAATTTTTAATACTCAATATCAAATTCCGAATCTCATCTCTATTTCCTCTTCAAATACAAAATGTAGTACTATTTACAGCTCTATTCCTTCATCCAATACCAAACTTAGTACTAAGAACATTTCGTGCAAATATAGCACAAATTTTTAAAACCACCTCCAAATCTCAATTCCATATACCAACAGAGACTTCAGTATCAAATGTGAGAATTCCAAACCTATCTAAGCTTAGAAAAATGTAGTACTTTCTGTACAAATATGGGACTCATTTTATTTTGACCCGTTGTGGGGGATGTACCAGAAGGAGTGGTCCGATATATAACATCTTCACACTTCATCTTGTGTTGATAGGAATATTGGAACGTAACGAATTTAAAAGGAATAGGATTTATAAGCTTCATGGTTATTTAAAATTTTTACCCTTTTGTGATGATACAGTCTGTCCATGCATTCTTGTGGACAAAATGCAGGTCGCATTTATTATCCGATTAAGATGAACAGTATTTGTTTGGTCCAAGGACGTACCATATTGAAATTGGTAATAATCGGATCAGATTTAGATATAGCTCCCATATATCTTTAGCCTATTTCTGGTTAATTGTGGACCAAATGACCAATATAAGTCCAAATGACTTGTATTTTGTTACATCTCACCGAATTCAGTCTAACCGAATTCACATATAGCTCTAGCTCCCATATATATATTTTATCCGATTTGAGGTTTTAAGCCCCTCACATGCGTAGTATGCACTCAGCAAGAATGATATTTGGTATTGGACATACAGATATCATTTGGTATCGGAAAATACCTCTGTGAAATTTATCGAGATCGGTTCACATTGGGATGTAGCTCCCATATATATCTTTATCCGATATCAAGTTTATTGTGCACCAAATGCCTAATATCAACCCAAAGAGACTGAATTTCGTCATTTATGACAGAATTCATAATATAAACCAGTACTTTAAATTTGGTGTAAATCGGTTCAGATATAGCTAAAGCTCCTATATATATGTTTCATCCGATTTGGGGTTAAAGTTCTTCACAAGTGTAAGATGCATTCCACAACAATGATTTTTGGTTCCATATATCAAAAACAGCTCTAAAATAAGTGTATCAAATTTTGTCAAGATCAGTTCAGATTTTGATATAGCTCCCATATATATCCTTAATCGATTTCGGATTAATTGTGCACAAAATGATCAATATCACATTCGTAATATATATTCGACAACAATAATGTTTGGTGCCAGATATCTTATAGAGTTCGGAAATACCTCTGCCAAATTTTATCAAGATCGGTTCAGATTTAGATATATATCCCATATATACCTTTAACCGATTTCGGGTTAATGGTGCACCAAATGACCAATATCTCTCCAAAAATCCTGAATTTTGGTACATCCGACCGAATTTAGTCTAGAAGCATATCGACTTACTTCTTCTCATAAGTTATAAGGATGGAAATTAATCACAAAAAATCAAAGCGTGGAAATATATCTGATATCAATACCAATAGATATATTTTTGCTTGTTTTCGCCTAAAATGTAATCCCTGGATAAAGAAAATAATCCGTTTCAATTTTGTTCACATATTTGTGAGTCATTTATTGAAAACTCCAACAAATTGTTGGCATCACTTTTACGACCCTGATATGGGTGCTTAAGGATTTTCCTCGATTGTAAGAAGACGTTGACCACAACAAAAATGCAGAAAGAAGAAAACAAAAATAAATACACACACCATAAACAATACGCCTTAAGAAAAACGAAAACAACAAAGAGATACAACAAAAAAAAAAAACATCAGGTCATAAAACATAATGGCAAACAAATTTGGCAAACGTTTTCAATTTTCTGGTGATAAGCAGACGCACTGCCAGTCAGCGAGGCAGCCAACCAAGTCAGCCAGCTGCTGGCTGCCTGGCTGGCAGCATGCAGAGTCGTCATGCAGACATGTGGCATTATGGCTCATCGTATTCGCATTTAACGTTTTTCTTTTTTGTTTATTCTTTCGTTTTTAGAATTTCCTCTCTGGCATGACTGGCGCACCTTGGCCACCCGCCCCCTCCGCAAGCAGACACCCAGAAAACTGTATTTTTTTTTCTCCAAAAAGAACTTTCATTTAAAATTTGATTTTTGTTGTTGCTACCACTGCTGTCTTGTGCTCTCTTGTAATAACAAATAAATTTTGTGTGTGTTCTTTTATCATTACCGTTATATCTCAACAAACAAGTTTCCGTTTCCGTTTCAAATTTATAGTTTGGGTTTGGTCAGGATTCACTTTTGCGGAGTACTCCTCGTTTACACTGGCAGACATAGAACATTCAACACACACCCATTCACAAAAAAATTTCGTTTTGGGGGTATTGTTTCGTTTGCTCTCCTTTTCTTTAATCAATCACACGCACGCACGCACGCACGCACACACATTCATATTATATTTGAAGTTATAACTGGATAAAATATTAAATTTTGAAAAATTTCACTTTTTCATTTAATTTTATTTTTTAATTCCTTAGATTTTTTTCCTTGGCAAAAAAATATGTGGGCGTAACACACTCGCTTACTTTGTGCCCTTTTTTCGCTGGGATATTCGAATCACTCCCAACACGATTTTAATTAAATTTTAAATTCCTTTACCAAAACACACGCACACACCCATGCTCGCGTGCACCCACACATTCACTTTGGTATTTCCTTTACAATTTTTGCACCGAAGAGCTACAACTTTTTTGTTGTACACATGTAGTTGTTGTTATAGTAATCCGTTTTTGGTTTTGTTGTTTTTTTTTTTTTTTTTCTTTTGATTTTCACTATCCGTTTTTGACGATGCGTTATCCGAAGCCAACACGTCCGTAACCGTAAAATGTCTATAAAAAACTGACTGTCTCTTTTCGTGCTGAGTGTAATTTTTCCGTTACTTTCGCTGCTCAGTTCGGTAGATTTTCCCTTAGTAGCCAATACCTAGAGCGGGGTCTCTTCCACCAAAAGCAAAGAAAAAAGTTCTATGCCAAACAACAGAATTACACACTTGACATTCTTAGGGGCGACGCTTTCATTCTATCGTGACGCCAATGCGCTGCCTTTTTGGCACCACATTTTACGTTGATGGAAAGAGAAATGCTCTTTGCAATTTTAGTAACTCTCTTTGCTTTCGTAATAAAGAGAGACAGTTGTTTTGTGTGATATCCTTTGGAAAATCCTGTTTGCATTAACAGGTGATTTACGATGAAGTTTGTGCGAAATCCACGAGATTCGAGAATTTTGGTATTAAGACAAAGGGGAAGATAGAAGACCAATGGAAGGGTTGAGGATGAAAGTGGCCTAAGTCAAGAGAAGAAAGTAAGAAAGTATCTGTAGGTTTTCGACATACCACAAACATTGGGGAGAGTAGGCCTAACCAAAAAAAAAAAAAAATAAGCCTCCCTCGTGTCTACTTCAGTGTTTTCCATGCTAGTTCTGAAATTAATCTATATCTATAAAAGAGGAAAATGTTTGTATGTTTGTAATTTATGGACTCGAAAACCGCTGAATAGATTTTTCTGAAAATTTCCATATATACTGCAACATCGCCTGAAAGTAACTGAAAGTAACATTAGCTATATACATTTTTGAATTTCCACTTGGAACTGGAGATATAGCATCAGAATCGGAGGTACCTCCCAAAAATTTACATTTTATATGCACATATCTATTGATTGGTTGAAGATACAGTCTCCAAATTTGGAATACGTAACGGAATTTGGAACAAAAATAAGTTTGCCAAATTATATTGTAATCGGTTCAGATTTGGATATAGCTCCCATATATATTTTCGACCGATTTCGTTCATTTGATGCCTCAAACACAATATGAATGTTCGATTCCAATGAAATTTGGAATGTGTGACGGGATTTAATCCGAAAATAAATTTGTCAAATTATATTGAAATCGGTTCAGATTTGGATATAGCTCCCATATATATTTTCGGCCGATTTCAAGCATTTGATGCACCAAACACGCAATGTATCCCCAATTTCAATGAAATTTGAAACGTGTGAAAGATTTTATCTAAAAAATTGATTTCCCAAATTATATTGAAATCGGTTTAGATTTGGATATAGCTCCTATATACATTTTCGGCCGATTTCATGTATTTGGTGGACCAAACACGATATGTATTTCCAATTGTAATGAAATTTAAAATAAGTAACGGAATTGGGAGCCAAAATGAATTTGTCAAATTAAATTGAAATCGGTTCAGATTTGGATATAGCTCCCATATATATTTTCCGCCGATTTCACATATTTGATGCACAAAACACGATACGTATTTCCGATTCCAATGAAATTCGGCATGAGTGGCTAAATTTGGTACAAAAATAAATTTGACAAATTATATTCAAATACGCTCAGATTTGATTATAGCTCCCATATATATACTCAGCCGATTTCACATATTTGATGCACCCAACGCGAGAGAGACAAAATCTGGCACCAGAAAAAATTGCCAAATTATATTGAAATCAGTTGAGGTTTGGATATACCTAACATATATATTTGGGCGATTTCATATATGTTATGCACCAAACATGATATATATGACCGATACCAATGAAATTCTGAATGTGTGGCGGAATTTGGTTATATATATATATATATATATATATATATATATATATATATATATATATATATATATATATATATATATATATATATATATATATTATCGGCCGATTTCACATATTTGACGCACCAATTTCAATGAAATATGAAAGGTGTGGCGGAGTTTGGTGTAAAAGTATTTTTTTTTTTAAATTATATTTAAATCGGATCAGATTGGGATATGATTTTAATACGAACCATTGACCTACAACGCCTTAGGCTAACACTAAAAAACAACACAACAATTGATTTGAAATACGCTTATTCTATATGCATGTAGTGAAATAATAGACTCACTGACCTCATATCTTGAGGGTCAGTCTTGGTGCGTGGCATGTGAAAAGGCTGGGTTTTTGGAAATTCCTAATAAAAGCGTACGAAAAGTACTGAAAGTTGGATAATTTATATTGGACAAATGGAATGAGCTACAATTCTGAAATTTAGAATGAAGTGTAGGATAGATGTACCAATTGGCTTTTTTAAATCGAACTTTAAATTTAAGACAAATTTTAAAATGTTACTAAACTTCTAAAATGGTACCAATTGATACTATGTGACCTGATAGGGTTAATTTAGAATTTATTCGCTGTTGATGGTAGGTTTGTGTTAAAGAAATGGTCTTGGAAATGTGCACTACAAGTGCACGAAAAGTACTAAATGGAACTATATTTTGTACAATCTGGTATTGGGTAGACAGATAGGGCCTGAAATCTGAAATTTCGTATTGGGGTCACTGTTAATGTGTTACCTGGAAATATATGGAGGTGGTTTCGGAATTGTGTACTATAATTGCACAAAAAGTACTAAATGGTACTCTATTTGTTATTGGGTGAAGGGATAGACATAAAATTCTTAAATTTGAAATTTCGATGACTGATGGTATCTGTATTCTTAGATTTGGCGATGGCTTGGGTGTGCGTCATATATTTGTGAGAAAAGTACCAAATGGTACAAAATTTTGTATTGTGCCAAATTTGATATTGAGGTCTCTGTTGGAATCTAGGATTTAGATATGGAGGTGGTTTTGGAAATGGGTACTATAGTTGTAGGAAAAGTACTTAATTGTACTAAATTTGGTATTGGGTGAAGGAATATAGTTGAAATCCCAAATTTTGATATGGATGCCACTGTTGGTGTCTGTGGTTGATAGAAGGAGTTGGTTTTGGATGTGCGTACTACAAATGTACTAAATGGTGTAAAATTTTGTAATTACGAAAATTATGCGTACAATGAACGTACGAAAAGTGCAAAATAACGTTGGGTGTTGGGATAGACATGAAATTCTGAAATTTGGTATCGAGTTCACTGTTGGTGACTATGGTGCAGAGAAGGAGGTGGTTTTCGACAAGCGTAATTTAACTGTACGAAAAGTATGGTAATCAATTTGTGATTGGGCATAGCTAGAATGTTGAAATTAGATATGAAGGTTGGTATACAGTTTTGAGAGAAGGAGATGGATTTCAAAATGGGTACTATGAAAAAAAGTCCACGTTTGAGTCTCCGAAGAAATTTCAAACTTCTTCTTAGAAAGTCCACGTTTGAGTCTCCGAAAAACTTTCGAATTTCTTCTAAAAAAGTCCACGTTTGAGTCTCCGAAAACTTTCTAATTTCTTCTTAAAAAGTCCACGTTTGAGTCTCCGAAAAACTTTCAAATTTCTTCTTAAAAAGTCCACGTTTGAGTCTCCGAAGAATTTTCAAATTTCTTTGAAAAAAGTCCACGTTTGAGTCTCCGAAAAACTTTCGAATTTCTTTTAAAAAAGTCTATGTTTGGGTCTCCGAAGAATTTTCAAATTTCTTTTTAAAAAGTTCACGTTTGAGGCTCCCAAAAACTTTCAAATTTTTTCCTGAAAAAGTCCACGTGTAAGGCTTTGAAATTTCTTCTTAAAAAGACCACCTTTGAGGTTTCGAAAGACTTTAAAATTTCTTCTTATAAAAGTCCAAGTTTGAGGCTGCGAAAAACTTTGAGGCTCTTCTTAAAAATCGGCCTTTAATGTTTTAAAATATCTTTTTTCTTAAAGAAAAGATAATAAATAAATATAGTAAATAAAATCCAAGCTTGAGAACTCTAAAAACTTTGATATTTTTGTTTCTTAAAAATCCACGTTTAAGACTCCAAATGACCTTGAAAATTTTTCATAAAAAATCCACGCCCCAAATGAAAAATATTCCTAAAATATCCACGAATGGCTTCATTGATTCTAGAAAATATATTCTGAGTCCAGGGAAAAAGCTCACGTTTGGGGCTCCAAATGAAAATATTCCTAAAATATAAAAAAATGGCTCTATTGATTCTAGAAAATATATTCTGAGTCCGGGCGAAAATATTCCTAAGTTTCTGAAGATTCTTAAAAAATATGGCCTTTTATGGCTCGGCCGATTATAAAAAAACGAAAAATTTGATGGCAATGGTGGTTTTCAATCCACCAGAAAAAAAAAAAAAAAAACAATCCAATCCAGAAAATAATTTAGGAAAATCCATGTGTTATGACTTTAAAGGCTTTTAAAAATGGTATTTAAATCCAAGTTTCCAAGACTTTTTAAAAACAAACCCATATTTAGTGACATTGGTGGTTCATGTTTTTTTTTTTTTATAAAATAAACCTTTGTTGTCTCTGTTGTTGAAAAATATTTTTTTTAAATACACGTTTGGGGCTTTCATGGGCCTTCAAAAATCTGTTTAATCATGGGTTAATTTTACGACATCCCTCCCAGAAATTTTTTCTCAAAAGATAATTGGAACTGTCCCATTCGGTCTTGTGATTGCTCGAATCATTGTGTTCTCTTAAGAGGGCAGAAAAACGTGCACCACTAAATGCGGACATGCGCACTGCTCACAAATTGTCAACTCACTTCTGAGCAGTCCAAAAAGAGATATAACCAAAATGTTTGCAAACAGAGCAAAATTGTGCGTAGGGCAGTCAGGTGGCCAAGAAGAACACGTTTTTGCAAAATCACTGAGAAAAATGAGAGGGAAAACATATGAACTGAGGAAAAACAAACAAAAACGATATGGACATGGAAGACGACTCTGTGCTGCCCTACACAAAAGAATGTTATGATAGTAGACAGTAGGGGAAAGCCAAAAGTCGGGCGGGCCGACTTATATGATATCCCTCACTTCTATGCATATTTAGTAGGGCTCGCATAAGAAAATATATTTTTTTTTTTTGAAGTAGATCATACCACCTATCAACATTTGG